ACACTGGAGATTGTCAGGAAAGATAAGTTGCCTCACTTCTTTCTCGTTAAGGACACTAAGTCCATGCCCGTCCTGCAATCAAAGGCAACATTCCAATTGTGATTCCCTATGACATTGGGGCTAAGATTCAGCAGAGTGTCACCGATGTACTTATGAGTGAGATCAAAACTAGTTAGGAAGAGCCAGGTATGGTTTCATTATCCTCCCTCATCCTTGCCCAGCACCTCAGGAGTTTCTGTGCCTGTTTGAACTCCTGGGTTGGTTAGTGTTGACCCTTCCAGAGATAGTAAAGACTATTGACCCTGTTAATTAGTGGAAGCTCTGAGGTCATTTTTTTTTAGATGGATGGCACAAGTGTAACCACACCTGGTTCATCCTCTCTGGACCTAGTTTTGTCAAATTTCACACTGTTCTACATAAGATTGAGCCTGTTCCTGAAGGAGCCTCAACACTCCCACCGTACCCCACCTCGGGCCTAGCTCTCCATGAGAGGCCAAGTAACTTAACATCTGGTGAGAAAGGAAGGCTGTTGCACTGGATAGGGTCTCTGCTTGACAGTAGTGGTGGTCGTGGTTGTTGAGGGTGGCCTCTTTTGAAGTGTCCAATCCTGACCCAATTCCAACACCTCTTTAGAACATCCCTTTGGGTTATCGTGGAGATGCGACAACAAGGACTGGATCATCATTTTCTGGGCAGAAATCAGCCTGAGGCCTACCTCCCTGTCTGTGCAACAGTCATCTCCCTGATGCTAGACTCTTCCCTGTGCTTAGGAGTCCAACATTTCCCCATGTTTTGATTGTTGTGATCCCATGCTTTAAAGAAAGGTCGTGGAGTTTCACCAATAAGCTGCTTTAACTCTATTTGGATGCTCCCATCCCTCACATACAAAATCCTGGAGAGGTTAGATGCAGAGAGGATGTTTTCACTGGTTGGGCAGTCTAGAGCCAGGGGCATAGTCTCAGGATGTGAATGAGATGAGGAAAAATTTCGTCCCTCAAAGTACAGTGAATTTGTGGAAGGCCAACTCTCAATGTATTCAGCAAAGAGATAGATAAATATTTAGATTTAAAAGGCATCAAAGGATATGAGGAGAAAGTGGAAATGTGGCATTGAGGTGGAGAATCTACATTGTTTCTCCTGAATGGCAGAGCAGCCGTAAAGGGCTGAGTGGCTTTCTCCTGCTTCAAGTTTCTATGATTTTATACTTGCGCTAAGCGGTCCTTCGGTATCCTGACCTTGGTTGATCTGAAGGTGGGGTCTATGAGGACAATATGGTTGAACAACTTCTCCATATCTGGATATGCAGAATCCAGGTCCTCCCCTTCAGTTTGCTTTCCTCATAAAACCACTTCTCTGGCTGTGTGAGGTTCTTGTTCCCTTTCAAAACTCTTTCGGTACCTTTCAGGCATGCTATGGACTTCTTCAAACAATTGTACCTCTTACCAGTATTTCCTATAAATTTTCCTGCACAGATGTTTCATCGTGAATGCTGCTGATTAGCATCGAGGTCCCTGGATGTCATGCCACCAACTGTCAATCCAAGTTTTCCTTGGGTGTTTCAGGTCGTCCTCCAAATCTTTCCAAGTACTTGCTGATTGGCAAGGATACCGTTTCCTTCCTCCCCTAGAATTTAAGAGCCCTGTACTTCAGATTGGCCTAAAGATCCTAATTCCTCTGTCAGTACCAGAGCCTCCAACATTCCTGGGGCAGGTTCAGCCTCCCTCATGGATATTGTCAGTTTCAATTCCTCCACTATCCATTAGATTACCACCAGGTTCCTTTCAGCCTTTTGCTATGACAGGCTTCCACAGCACAGGAACCAATCAACTGGAACAGAAGTGTGTCATGGGACATATACAAATGGACAGCCCAGAGATCATGAAGCAGGTATCTTTATTTCACTGGCATCAGGTCATTACAAACATGAGAGAAATAAAGGTTAAATAAGGAAGCATTTGCATGGAATAAAGCTGGTAGTTTATGTTGGGTTGAGGAATCCTTTTGTCATCCCCTCTTCCCATGAGGCCTCTGTCCCTCAAAGGCACACCTTTTTTTAAACGTGTGACAACTTTTACTTAGCATATTGATATCCATACAGAACATGGCACTGATTTCTTGATTTTTCAAATTCTGCCTACCAATTACAAGGCATAAGTTAGGAGTGGGCTGGAATACTCTCCACTTGTCTGGATGTGTGCAGTTCCAACAACACTCAACAAGCACCCTATCCACCATCTTCAAAATACTTTGGTGCAGAGGGATCTGGGTGTCCTCAAGCATAAGTTGTAGAAAGCTAGTATGCAAGAGGCGGCACGGTGGCTCAGTGGTTAGCACTGTTGCCTCACAGCACCAGGGACCCGGGTTTGATTCCACCCTTGGGCGACTGTCTGTGTGGAGTTTGCACATTCTCCCTATGTTTGCATGGGTTTCCTCTGGGTGCTCCAGTTTCCTCTCACAGTCCAAAGATGTGCAGGCTAGATGGATTGGCCATGGGAAATTGTCCCATAGTGTTCAGGGATGTGTAGATTAGGGGGATGGGTCTGGGTGGGATGCTCTGAGGGTCGATGTGGACTTGTTGGGCCAAAGGGCCTGTTTCCACACTGTAGGAATTCCATAAATAAAAAAGGTACAGCGGGTAATAAGGAAGGCAAATGGAATCTTGTCATTTATTGCGAAAGGAATGGAGTATAAGAGTAGGGAAATGTTGTTACAATTGTGCAAGGCATTGGCAAGATGGTATCTGGAGTCCTGCATGCAGATTTGATCCCCTTACATGTGGAACAATGTAGTTGCGTTCGAAGCAGTTCAGAGAAGGTTCAATAAATTAATTCACAAGATGAAAGGCTTGTTTTAGGAGGAGAGATCTAGTCATTTAGGCATGTACCCTCCGGAGTTTAGAAAAGTGAGAGGAGATCTAACTGAGGTATATAAGATGCTAAAGGGAATTGACAAATTAGATGTAGAGGAGATATTTCCCCTTGTGGGGCATTCTGGATTGAGTGTTCATAGTTTTAGGATAAGGGGTGGCAGAATTAAAACAGATGAGGGGAAATTACTTTTGTCAAAAGGTCGTGGATCTGTGGAATTCACTATCCCAAAGTATAGTGGAAGTGAGGGCATTGAACAAATTTGAGGAGGAGATAAACAGATTTTTTACAAAAACCGAAAAGTTTGCTGGAAAAGCTCAGCAGGTCTGGCAGCATCTGTGAAGAAAAATCAGAGTTAATGTTTCAGGTCTGGTTCTGAGGAAGGTTCACCAGACCTGAAACGTTAACTGAGTTTTCTTCATAGATGCTGCCAGACCTGCTGAGCTTTTCCAGCAAACTTCCATTTTTGTTCCTGATTTACAGCATCTGCAGTTCTTTTAGTTTTTAGATTTTTAGCTAGGAATGGGTTAAAGGGTTACGGGGAGCAGACAGGAAAGTGAAACTGAGGCTGGGACAGCCATGATCCTCTTGAATGGTGAAGCATGCTCGAGAGGGTGAATTGTCTACAATAGCTCCTAGTTCTTGTGTTCTTTATGTTCACCGTTCACTCTCTTTCTTCCAGCAATGCGCATTTGTACTAGTCGGTCTGCAGTAATTCAACAAGGCTGCGTTGGCATCATAGTCCAAATCAATGACCTCTACCACATGGACAAACAAGGACACCAAATGCATCTGAATGCTACCACCCGCAAGTTCCCTGCCAAATGACACCATCCTGATTTTTATTTCATTCATTGTTGCGAGATCAGAATCTTGGAACTCTTCCTAACAGCACTGTGGGTGTATATACACACAAGAATTCTAGAATACACCCAACTCATCACCATCTCAAAGAAAATTAGAGATAGGCAATAAGTGCTGGCCTAGCTAGTGACACCCATGACAGAATGTTTTTTTTTAATTCAACAGACGTTCTGTTTGACATTTGTAATAATTCACCTCCAACAGCTCTCATCATTATACCAGTAATCCCATTAGTACTCTAACCTAGCATGGTCTCAATTTTTAAAAATGCTTTCCAGGCACATCTCAAGATTAAAAAGCAAAATATCTACAACGTGTAAATGTCCTCCTGTTTTTCCATTGTTAAAATTAATTGTGCAACAATTTTACAAAACAACAATTTTATTAAATCGGCATATAAATTACGGATTCCTACTTACTGCATTTGTAAAACCCTTGTGAAAATAACTGCTTAATGTCAAGATTATGTTTGGAATTAGTGTTTTTCATGTATTTCGTGAATGACATTTTGACTTCTAACATTTGTTACATGTAAGGCTACTTCATACCAGTTGTTAAAATGAATTAGTGCTGCACTAATGTTAACAACATTGTGCTAAAATCTGGTCTGTTGATTTCTCCATTTTTACAAGGCACCCATAATTTTACGTCATGACTTGTGGTCTCAGCTCCTCAGCTTGAAAATATGTTCAAAGGTGTGATCTCTTCTATAGGTTCAATGAGAATGTAATTATTCCTTTTACTTTTTTTCTCATACAATGTTCTTCTACAAAATTTAAAAGAGGGAAGCTTCAGTCAATTCCATGGAATTTAATTCTGTACTAAATCAGCTGCCTGAGACCTGATATGTGTGAAATGTTACTAAATTCAAACATGCCCTTAATGAATAGACATGCTATTGATAAACAATCAGCAAGATTTAAATCTATGCATTGGGATGTAGAGAGAATTGTAAAAATTACAAAATTCTCACCAACCTTGCTGTTCTTGACTGTAAGTTACAAATTTTATTTCTGAGAACCAGGTGTTAGAATGGGGAGGCAGGGAGCAGCCCAAATGAACACATTGCCCTTCTCTAATATGACATTTCATTCCAGGGTTGATCTTGTGATCCTCTTGAGGCCCAATCACTCTGCATCTTTAGAGTTCTGGGCTACTGCCATGCATCATCTAAAAAATAACATAAGGAAAACAAGAGCTGGAGAATTGTGTGCAATGTCCTTGATACTCATCACTGTATTTCATGTAGTTTTTGTTCCTTTTCAATAGTTTTACACCACGTTTACCGAAAGCAGGAGAAACCATACATGGGCACAAGTTTTTTATTGGGTTTGGAGGAAAAGGGGCCAATCAGTGTATCCAGGCAGCACGGCTCGGAGCCAAAGCAGCAATGGTTAGCAAGGTAAGACTAAAAATAAATTCTAGACTAATAACTTGATGATTTGTGTGGAAGCAGCGACCAATAGGATAATTTGATTGTTCCATGCCAAGTCCTCAAATTTCCAACAGAAAACTAAACAATACAGACATAATTGTTAGCGCACATATCTAGTGACATTACAGCATAGGAGAAGCCAGTGTTGATTCTCCATAGCTCTTGGAGCAGGTTAATAAAACTGTCTGACCGGCTATCTCTGCAAGTTTCTGTCTCAAGTAGCCATCCAGTTTACTTTGGAAATCATTCATCGCTCATGGGAAGAAAGTTCCAGGTCATTATTATTTGCTATGTCAAAGGAAAATTCTTTCTCCCATCATTCCTGTATCTCTTGCCCAAAATTTTTTACTCTGTGACCACGAAGTCCTTACACCATCAGGCAATGTGATCAGCTCTTCTTTGTCTACTTTATGTAGACCTGTCACAAACTTATACATTTCTATCAGATCGACTCTCCACCTTCTATTCTCTAATCCCAGGTTCTATATAAAAACCGAAAGAAATGTGGATGTTGTAAATCAGGAATGAAAACAGCGGTTGCTGTAAAAGCTCGGCAGGTCTGGCAGCACCTGTGAAGAAAAAACAGAGTTAACGTTTCGGGTCCGGTGACCCTTCCTCAGAACTGATGGAACAGTTCTGAGGAAGGGTCACTGGACCAAAAACTTTAACTCTGTTTTTTCTTCACAGGTGCTGCCAGACTTGCTGAGCTTTTCCAGCAACTTCTGTTTTTAATCCCAGGTTCCGCAGCTTAACCTTGAAACTAAACTCCTTCATGATAGAAAGCATTCTGTTAAGTTGCACTTTCTTAAGGACCATCGCATCTTTTCTAAAGTGTGGCTTCTTATGCTCAGTTGGGGCTTAATCAGAATTTTATGTAAGTGAATACTTTATCTATGAGCAGGAATAAATTAAAATATTCCCTTAAAATTTCTTTGTACTTGGTAGTTATATTAATCATGTTCTGAAGTTGCATAAATATGTTGAATATTGCATCTAGTTTATTTTCCTTTCTCCACTAATGCTAATTAGTATCCATTTATCATATATAATTGTTTTCAAGTGTCATTTCTTTGTGCTTACCAGTATTAACAACAAACACCGTTCTTTATCTTGCACCTTAATTGCTCCAGCTTCTTTTGAATGGGGTCTGTTTGTCAGCAGAATTTGTGGTCCCTACATACAGGGGTAGACCATAGCATCTGTGAAACCGTCTCTTCCATTCAGGACAACTATGGTTCATCCTGTGCTCCAACTCCACTTCCTTCCTCACTCCCTGTATCCCATGATTACCTGAGAGGTCATCTCAACTTTAAATACATTAAATAATGAAAGATTCTCAGTCCTCTGAGGTACAGAATTCCAAAGATCCAGCAGCCCTTTGAGTGAAGACATATTCCATTTTGGTGCTGAATGATCATCCCCTTAAGGTTGTAGGCATACGCGCTAAGCCGGTGGGTTTGGTTGCAAATGTTTTGTCACCTCGCTAGGTAACATCGTCAGTGCGCCTCCAGTGAAGCATCGATGTTCTGTCCCGCTCGTTATTGATATGCCTCAGTTTGCTGGGGTGGTTAGTATTACTTCCGGTTTTGTTTCTCAGTGAATTAGACCCTGTGTACAAACCAATGTGTTTGTTGATGGAGTTCCAGTTGGAATACAAGGCCTCCAGGAATTCCCTGACGTGTCTCTGTTTGGCTTGTGCGATTATCGATGTGTTATCCTAGTCAAATTCGTGTCCCTTGTTGTCCGTGTGTAGTGAGACAAATGAAAATTGGTCGTGTCTCTTGGTGTCCAGTTGACGTTCATGTATCCGTATAGTCAATTTTCTTCCAGTTTGGCCTATGTACTGTTTCTCACAGTCCTTGCATGGTATTTTGTATATTACCGCAGATATGCCAGTTTTGGGTATGGGATCCTTTACATTCATTAGTGGCTGTCTTAGGGTGGTTGCCGGTTTGTGGACTACACTGATACCTAGAGGTCTGAGTAGTCTTGTGGTCATCTCTGAAATATCCTTGATGTATGGTACAGAATCACTTATCATCTTACCATACCAAATTTATTGCAAGGGGACTGAAGTACTAGATTAGGATATTTCAGATATTATTTAGCAGGGTGACAAAACATTTACAACCAAACCCATTGGCTCGACGAGCATGCCCACAAACTCATTCATAACTGGAACTACAGATCATCCCCTTGTACTGACATTGTGCCTCTCTGTTCTAGATTCCCCAGCCAGGAGAAACACCTCTGTGTCTACCCTGTCAAACACTTCGAGAATTTTGTACATTTCATTGAGATCACCTCTAATTCTAATAAATGCTAGAGAGTTTAGGCCCAATATATTTAACCCTGTATCATAGGACAAACCTCTTATCCCAGGAATCATCTAGTGAACCTTCACTGTACAGACTCTAGTCCCATTATATTCTTCCTTTAATATGGACACCAAATCTGCACATGGTATTTCAAGTGTAGCAAGGCCTCCTATTCTAGTACTTCAGTCCCCTTGCAATAAATTTCAACATGTCATTTGCCTTCCTAATTGCTTACTGTACCTTCGTATAAACTTTCAATGTTCCTTATTCAAGTAAACCCAAATTTGCCTGAAGATCTGTAATTTTGTTGAATTACAAGTGTAAAAACAAACCGCTGGAAATATTCAGCGAGTCTAGTAGATTTTGTAAAATGTCAAACAGAATAGATGACCAAAACCTTCCAAACAAAAAAAAAAAATCGATTCCAGGGACCAACCCTTCTCATCTCCTGACATCTGCTTGGGATAGTGACCTTGTGGAAGGTCATCAATTAAAGACATGTAGAGGGACAGCAATATGAGGCCTAATGAGAAGACTTCCAAGTAGCCTTAGGATAAAGAAAAACCTTTTAAGGGCACAAAGGTGTCACAAGTGACAATTCAATACTTGTAAAAAATATGGTCACTTTACATTTTCACCTATCTGGTCGGCTGTCATTTTGGCTGCTGATATGAAAATTAAGCTACAAATGTTATGTTTCCTTAGTGCCCTATAATGTCAGAACAATGTCTGGAGGAATGCTACTTTTTCCATTGTGCCCATATTAACATAAAACATTATCATGATTGGATGAGGGAGTATGAAATGTTGGTGAAAGTTTCCATCAGTCTGTAACGTTAGCTTTCATTTAATTATGGGAACAAGGAAGGAAAAACATACCATTAAACTGCTGATCCTAGCGTTCTCAATTTAGTCTTTTTTTTATCAACTTCTGTGATCATTCATAGTGCAGTAAACAAAAAGACCAGAACAGGTTCTTTGTCTTAGGCTCATTGAATGGTCAACAGTAGACAATGTGGGCAGGATCAGAAACAAAGCAGCTCCTCAATAATGTGATATGTCGGCATCACAAATGAGTGTTAATTATTGCTCCCCATGTCCCAGTGTATGGAGGGCAATGGGATGCCTCTACGTGAACCTTTTATATAGTGGACCAAATTCAGATGCATGCTACAAGCCTTTTGTCACATAAAGGAGGATGTTTTAAGTGTGATAGGAACAATGACATCTTCTTCCCCCCACTCCCTGTGAAACTGCCACCTCCTATCCCCCACACGACACAAGAATGTCAACATTTTTTAAAAAACAATATAGAATCCTTACAGTGTGGAAGCAGGCCATTCGGCCTATTGAGCCCACACCGACTCTCCAAAGAGCATCCCATCCAGACCCACCGCCCTACCCTGTAACCCTGCATTTTCCATGGCTAACCCACCTAGCCTACGCATCTTGGAAGTCTATGGGCAATTTTAGCATGGCCAATCCACCTAACCTGCATGTCTTTGGACTGGTGGAGGAAACTGGAGCACCCGGCAGCAACCCATTCAGACATGGGGAGAACAACACAGACAGTCGCCCGAAGGTGGAATCGAACACAGGTCCCCTGGCGCTGTGAGACAGCAGTGCTAACCGCTGAGCCACTGTGTTGCCCCCATCCCATATCAAATTCATATCAGATAACGTTGAAACAATTTTATAGTCAAAAGTGCAAGGAAACAGTCAAGGGACTTTTGTGCAGCCTGTGAGACCTTTAAATGTGCTTGTGAATTGTGGAACTTAGGTGAAACTTTATAGCTCATCTGACATTTTTGTTTCTGTTTTACACCAATTACTAGAATTCATTTGTAATGTAATGCAATCACATTAAAGGGGCTTATGTTACTCACAGTAGAGCATGCATGCTCAAAAAGAACAAAAACTTACTCTCCCTGCCCTGGCTGTGGAGATCTGAAATAATAACAAAGTGCTGGAGAGACTAAGCAGGTCTGGCAGCACGTTCGGAAGAATTATAGTGGACTTGAAATATTAACTGTTTCTGTCTCTTCACAGATGCTGCCAGACCTGTTGAATTTCTCCAGCATTGTGTTTATATTCAGATCTTCAGCATCTGCAATACTTTTGTCTCACTGAAGTTTTCATCTCCCCACTTTACTCCCGAACCCTGCCCAGCAGCTTATTTACACCACTTAGTTATTTTTGCATGAATCCCCACTGAAGCCAGACTAGTGATGACCATTGATGACCCTGCCTTCCCATTCTTTATTATCTCTCACCTAGATACTCTGCCCTGTTGAACAACATTTGGAGAAAGCACTGAGGGTAGCAAGGATGCAAAATGTACCCTGTGAGGGACTTTAATGAACACCACCAAGAGTGGCTCAGCAGCAGCACTGCTGATTGAGCTGGTCAGGTCCTAACGGACATAGTTGCTAGACTGGGTCTATGACAGGTGCTGAGGAAAAACATATTTGACCTCATCCTTATCAATCTGCCAGCTAAAATGCATCTGTCCATGACAGTGTCGATAAGAGATACCACCACACAGTCCTTGTGGAGATGCAGCCCCACCTTTACATTGAGAATGCCCTCCATCATGTTGGGCACTATCACAGAGTTAAATGGGACTAACTTCAAACAGATCCAGCAATTCAAAGCTGGGCATCTGTTGATGGTGCTGTGGGCCATCAGCAGCAGAATTGTACTACAGGACAATCTATAATGTCAACACTTGGCATATCACCCACTCAACCATTACCATCAAGCCAGGGAATCAACCCTGGTTCAATAGAGGGTGTAGGAGAGCATGCCAGGAGCTGCAGAAAGCATACCTGAAAATGAAGTGTCAACATAGTGAAGCTACTAAACAGAACGACTTGCATTTCAAACAGCATAAGTAGCAAGTGATAGAGCTAAGTGATCCCACAACCAACTGATCAGACCTAAGCTCTGCAGTCTTTCTACATCCAGTCGTGAATGGTGAGACAATTAAACAACTCACTGGGGGAGGTGGCTGCACAAATATCCCAATCCTCAATGATGGAAGAAACCACCACATGAGTGCAAAAGATAAGGCTGAAGCATTCACAGCAAATTTCAGCTAGAAGTATCAAGTGGATGATCCATCTCAGCTGCCTCCAGTAGTCCCCAGCATTAAAGATACCAGTCTTCAGCCAATTCGGTTCACTCGTGATATCAAGAAACAGTGAGAGACACTGGATACTGCAAAGGCTACAGGCCCTGACAACATTCCAGCAATATTATTGAAGACTTGTGTTCCAGAACTTGCTACTGCCTGCCAAGCTCTTCTGGTACAGTTACAACAACTGGCATCTACCCCACAATGTGGAAAATTGCCCAGGTATGTTCAGTATATGAAAAGCAGGACAAATCCAGCCCAGCAAATTGTCACCCTATCAGTCTACTCTCGATCATCAGTAAAATGGTGGAAGGTGTCATCAATAATGCTGTCAAACAGCATTTGTTCAGCAATGATATGCTCAGTGACTCCCAGTTTGGGTTGTGCCATGGTCAGTCAGCTCCTGACCTCCTACAGCTTTGGCTCAAACATAGACTAACGACCTCAATTTCAGAGGTGAGGTGAGAGTGACAGCCCTTGACATCAAGGCTGCATTTGACCAAGTGTGGCATCAAGGAGCCCTAGCAAAACTGGAACCCATAGGTACCAGAGGGCAAACTCTCTACTGGTTGGAGTCATACCTGGCATGTAAGAAGATGGCCGTGGTTGTCGGAGATCGGTCATCTCAGGTCCAGGACATCACTGCAGGAGTTCCTCGGGGTAGTATCCTAGGCTCATCCATCTTCAGTTACTTCATCAATGACTTTCCCACCATCATAAGTTCAAAAGTGTGCAATTATTGGTAAACATCCCCAATGTTCAGTACCATTCTAGACTCCTCAGATACTGAAGCAGTCTCTGTTCAAATGCAACGATATGTGAACAAAATCCAGCCTTGGGCTGGCAAGTGGCAAGTAACATTTGAAGCACACAAATGCCAGGCTATGACCATCATCAATAAGAGACTAACTAACCACGGCACCTTGACAAGATCTGGACAATATCCAGTATTGATAACCAGTAACATTCACACCACGCAACTACCAAGCTATAACCATCAGCAACAAGAAACAATCTAACCACCATCCCTTGACATTCAGTGGTGTTACCATCACTGCCCCACTATCAACATCTTGGGGGTTACCATTGACCAGAAACTCAACTGGACTCACTGCATAAACACCGTGGCTACAAGAGCAGGTCAGAGTCTAGGAATACTGTAGCAAGTAACTCACCTCTTGACTCTCCAAAGCCTGTCCACTGTCCACAAGGCACAAGTCAGGAGTACGATGAAATATTCCCCACTTGCTTGGCTGAGTGCAACTCCAGCAACGCTCAGGAAGCTTGACACCATCCGGGGCAAAGCAGCCCACTTGATTGGCACTACATCCACAAGCATCCATTCCCTCCACCACTGACACTCAGAAGCAGCAGTGTGTACTGTCTACAAGATGCACTACAGAAATTCATGAAAGATCCTCAGACAGCACCTTCCAAACCCAGGACCACTTCCATCTAGAGGGACTAGGGCAGCAGATAAATGGGATTCCCACCATTACCTGCAAGTTTCCCTTCAAACCACTCACCATCCTGACTTGGTAATATATTGCCATTCCTTCACTGTCACTGAGTCAAGATTTTGGAATTCCCTCCCTAATGGCATTGTGGGTCAACCTACAGCAGGTGGACTGCAGTGGTTCAAGAAGGCAGCTCACACCATGTTCTCAAGGGCAACTAGGGACAAGCTGGTCAGCCAGTGGCGCCCACAACCCACAAATGAATTAAAAAAGAATAGGAGGCCACCGTGTCTAACAACAGCAAGAGCTTTATTATATGTGTTGTTCACTCTGTAGGCAGCAAACTCGACAGCATCTGATCTAGACAGCAAACTAAAGCTTCAAAATCTCCCCTCCCCCGACCGCATCCCAAAACCAGCCCAGCTCGTCCTCGCTTCCCTCACCTGTCCTCCCACCTATCCACTCCTCCCACCTCAAGCCCCACCCCCATCTCCTACCTACTAGCCTCATCCCGCCTCCTTGACCTGTCCGTCCTCCCTGGACCGACCTGTCCCCTCCCTTACTCCCCACCCACACTCACCTTTTACTGGCTCCAACCCCGCCTCTTTGACCTGTCTGTCTCCTCTCCACCTATCTTCTCCTTTTATCCATCTTCTATCCACTTCCCCCTTTCTCCCTATTTATTTCAGAATCCCCTTCCCCTCCCCCATTTCTGAAGAAGGGTCTAGAATCGAAACGTCAGCCTTCCTGCTCCTCTGATGCTGTTTGGCCTGCTGTGTTCATCCAGCTCTACACCTCGTTATCTCAGATTGTCCAGCATCGGCAGTTCCTACTATCTCTGCAGCAAACTAGACAGCTGTTTCCTTCAAAAATGACCAATGATGATGTCGTCATCATATCACATGATTGGATTCAAAGTGACATTCCGAAATACACAACACTTACTAAGGTTTATTACCTGAGACTTGTCGGCTTAGCCATTTGGTTGTAGTTTATCCACTACTCTCAAAGTGGACTTTTCTAATATTGGGACAGCAAATGCATACTGGGTGACCTCTACAGAACACCCGAGTTCAGTCTGCTAGTGTGTCTGCAAGCTTGTAGTTGTCTGTTCCTTTAATTCGCCATTTTGCCCCCACTCTGATCTTTCTGGTTTTGACTGCACGCGCTGTTCCCACTCCAAATATAAGCTCAAGGACCAGCACCTCCTCCCACATTCCAAAGATATGCAGGTTAGGTGGAGTGGCCATGGGAAATGCATGGTTACAGGGATAGGGCGGAGTTGTGGTTCTGGGTGGGATACTCTTCAGAGGGTTGGTGTGGATTTGATGGGCTGAATGGCCTGCTTGCCCACTGTCGGTATTCTATGATTCTGTATTGCTATTTGTCTACTGTCATATGTAGGCCAAATGAAATAAGGATAGCAGATTTCCTTCCCGAAAGGACATTATTAAGCCAAATGGGTTTTACAACAATTGACGATTCTTGAACAAAAACAAAGTTGCTGGAAGAGCTCAGCAGGTCTGGCAGCATCTGTGAAGGAAAAAACAGAGGGTCCGGTGACCCTTCCTCAGAATTGACGGTTCTTTATTGAATTCAAATTTCGTGATCTGTCATGGTGGCATTCAGACCCATATCCATAGTCCCCCATTGCAGTTCTGGATTATTAGTCTCATGACATTATCACTATATGACCAACTTGATTCTATTGATTTGATTCTTCGTTGAAAGCCTCGCATATGGAACTTTGTCAAATGCCTTAATGAATAGACCTGACAGTCCTTATGCACCAGTGCAGTTACTTCATTTGGAAGATATATCATGTTGTTTTAGAGATGTGGATGAAGGCTAAATGCATTTGTCACAACTCCTCTGGACTAAGGAAGAATAGCGAAGCTAGGCTGTTACTAGCAAGAACTTTTGCATCTTTGTTTTGGAAGATGTTTTCACTTAAATTGTACCTTAAGAGCTAGCTGTGAGATAGTTAAAATATCTTATGACAAATAAAGTTAAACATGGTTTCTTTATTAAGGTGGAATTAAGTGTTTAGTTTCAAGATGCTAGTACCTAAACATTCTTTATCTCAAAGCAGGTTGGGAAAGATTCATTTGGAGATAATTACATCGAAAACTTCAAAAGTAATGGCGTGTCTACAGGTATTACTTCAAAATATTGTCTTCTCTATTTGAGGGGTTTTCACGCAGCAACAGAATTATTGCTGATTCCCTGTTGAACATTTCTTGGTTTCCTGCATTTTTCAGTGAGTAGTTATGGGATGCATTACCTTGAAGCATGGTAGAGGCAGGTTTGATTGAGACATTCAGCAGGGCATTAGAGTATTATTTGAATAAAAATAATGTGTAAAGGTATGGGAGCAATGCAGAAAGTTAGGCACTAGATAATGCAATTTAAGCATAGGTTTAATGGGCCAAATGGCCGCCTTCTGTGCCATAAGATTTTGAGCTTCCTGTCTGAACCTGTCCTGCTGATTACAACTAAGCAGTTGTGCTTAAACACTATTGATTGGTTACAGCTTTGACACAAATCAAGCTGAATGTATTCCAGTGATGTAGCAGTATCTCATTTGGCAAATTATTACATCCGCATCAATTTCTTGTTGCAGAATATGTGGGTCAAACAGATGAAGCATCGACAGGAGTTGCCCCTATTACGGTGAATGATGAAGGTATTGCACAGGATTTACAGTTTTATCCTTCATCCCCAGCTTAATAAGTATCTTTAAACAGGAATGAACTAGTAAAATTAGTAGAGTGCAGTTTTTTGTTTTTTTTTAAACGAGTATACAATAAACATTTATTACTGGGACTGCCATCATGTCAAAGGTTTGGATGGAGAAAAATTTAAGCGTGTTCAGGAAAAATTTCCATGTATGTAGATGGGCCGACTAGAGAAGGGGCAAAACCTGACCTCCTCTTGGGAAGTAAGGCAGGGCTCGTGACTGAACTGTCAGTAGGGAAATGCTTTGTGACCAGTGGCCATAATTCTATTATTTTTACAATAGCTATAGAAAAGGGTAGGTCTGGTCCAAAAATTAAATTCTAAACTGGGGAAAAGCTAATTTTGATGAACTTAAATAGAAACTTTCAAAAGTTGATTAGGGGAGGCTGTTTGCAGGCAAAGGGGCATTGGGTAAGTGTGAGGCTTTCAAAAGTGAGTTAGTGAGGGGTCAGGGCCAGCATGTTCTTGTTAGAGTGAAGGGTAAGGCTGGCAGGAGTAAGGAACTCTGTATGACTAGAGTTATTGAGGCCCTGGTCTTGAAAAAGAAGGAGGCATATTATATGTATAGGCAGCTGGGATCAAGTGAATTCCTTGAGGAGTATAGATGGTGTCAGTGTACACTTAAGAGAGAAAGCAGGAGGGCTAAAAGGGGGCATGAGATGGCTTAGGCAGATAAGGTAAAGGAAAATCCAAAGAGATTCTACAAGTGTGTGAAGGGCAATGAGTAACTGGGGAGAGAATAGGGCCTCTTAAAGATCAACAACGTCATCTATGTGCAGAACCACAGAGATGGGCAAGATCCTAAATAAATATTTCTCGTCAGTTTTGCCGTCACAAATGTATGGATGCTAGGGAACTTGGGGGAAATAGTGATGTCTTGAAGAGTGTCCACACTACAGAAGAGGAAGTGCTGGAAATCTTAAAACGCATGAAGATAGATAAATCCCCAGGACCTGATAAATTGTATCCCAGGACTTTGTCAGAGGCGAGGGAGGAAATTGCAGGGCCCCTAGCAGAGATATTTTTATCATCGACAACCACAGATGAAGTGCCCAAAGACTGGAGGGTGACTTAAAATGTTGTGCCATTTTTTAAGAAAGGTCGCAGGGAAATGCCTGACGACTACAGACCAGTGAGCCTAACATCTGTGGTGGATCAGTTATTAAAGGGGATTCTGAGAGAAAGGATTTACATGCATTTGGAAAGGCATGGACTCACTTGGGATAGTCAGCGTGGCTTTGTGCATGGGAAATCATGTCTCAGGAATTTGAGCTTTTTGAAGGGGTGACGAAGAAAGTAGATGAGGGCAGTGCGGTAGACATTGTCTGTGCAGACTTTAGCAAGGCCTTTGACAAGGTACCACATGGTAGGTTGTTGAGTAAAGTTAAATCTCACCGGATTCAGGAAGAGTTAGCCAACTGGATATAAACTTCAGATAACAAGGTGTAGAGCTGGATGAACACAGCAGGCCAAGCATCATCATAGGAGCAGGAAGGCTGACGTTTCGGGCCTAGACCCTTCATCAGAAAGTCAGCCTTCTTGCTCCTATGATGTTGCTTGGCCTGCTGTGTTCATCCAGATCTACACCTTGTTATCTCAGATTCTCCAGCATCTGCAGTTCCTACTATCTTTTATATAAACTTGGCTTGGTGGCAGAAGACAGAGGCCTGTTACCAGCGGGGTGCCACAGGGATTGGTGCTACATCCACTGTTATTTGTCATTTTATATAAATGATTTGGATGACGCTTTAGGAGGCGTGGTTAGTAAGTTTGCAGATGACGCCAAGATTGGTGGTATAGTGGACAATGAAGAAGGTTATCGGGGAATGCAGCAAGATCTTGATCAACTGGGCCAATGGGCTGAGGTATGGCAGATGGAGTTTAACTTACATAAATGCAAGCTGTTGTATTTTGAAAATGCAAACCAGGGCAGGACTTGCACAGTCAATGCTAGCATCCTGGAAATTTATAGAACAAATAGATCGAGAATTACGAGTTCATAGTTCTTTGAAACTGGAGTCACAAGTAGACACAGGGTGGTGAAGAAGGCTTTCAGCTTGCTTGCTTTTGTTAGTCAGAGCACTGAGTATGGGTGTTGGGATGTCTTGGTGCATCTGTACAAGACTGTAGTGAGGCGGCATTTGGAGTACTGCATGCAGTTCTGGTCTCCCTACAATAGAAAGGATATTATTAAACTATAACGATTGCAGAAAAGATTTACTAGGATGCCACCTGGACTGGAAGGTTTGAGTTATAAGGAGAGGTTGGATAGGCTGGGACTTTTCTCCTCCGGAGCCTAGGAGACTGAGGGGGTGACCTTTGTGGAGGTTCTTAAAATCATGAGCGGCGCAGATAAGGTGGGTAGCCAGCAGCTTTTCCCCATGGTAAGGGAGCCTAAAACTAGAGGGCATAGGTTTAAGGTGAGAGGGAAGAGATGCAAAAATGTCCAGAAGGGCAATTTTTTCACACAGAAGGTGGTGAGTGTCAGGAATAGGCTGCCGGAAGTAGTGGTGGAAGCAAGTACAATTTTGTCATTTCAGAAACATTTGGACAGGTAGGTGGATGGGATAGGTATGGAGGAATAAGGACCAAATGCAGGCAAATGGGACTAGTTTAAATTGTGAAAACTGGTGGGCATGGACAAGTTGAGCCGAAGGGCCTGTTTCCATGCTGTGGACTTCTCTGGCTCAACTGTGCATTTGCAGAGACATAGCGGTATAATTCCTGCCAAATCATTTTAACTTGAATACTCTTGTTGTCTTTTAGTACAAATTGAAGACTTTTTTTCTATTCATTTGTGGGATGTCGGCGTCTCTGGCTGGCCAGCATTTCTTGCCCATCCCTAGTTGCCCTTAAAATTATTGGATGTTGTCTTGCCCTCCAGAAATTTCTTTGAAAAATGTGAAGTAAGATTTCACGGGAGTTTATTTTTGTTATCTATCTGTGAATATAGTGTTATGGATGCTTGCAGAGCACAGCATTCACAGCGCCAGGAACCCGGGTTCGATTCTAGCCTTGGGCGACTGTCTGTGTGGAGTTTGCACATTCTCCCCGTGTCTGCGTGGGTTTCCTCCCAGGTGCTCCGGTTTCCTCCCACAGTCCAAAGATGTGCAGGGTAGGTGGTTTGGTAATGCCAAATTGTCCATAGTGCCCAGGGATGTTTAGGTTAGGTGTGTTAGACATGGGAAATGCAAGGTTAGGAGCCAAATGGCCTGTTTCCGCACTATAGGGATTCTATGATTCTATGATTCTTCTATGATAACATTCAGGAGCCGAAACTCTTCAGCCACCATGTTGTGAACAAATGATCAACATGGGCCAACTGGATCTCTTGTATTGCTAATCTCTGGACCAGTAAAATCTGAGAAGCAGCAAACAATCAGGGCTGAAGCTGCTTACAGTATAATTTCTGATTGGCTTAGTTTCAAAAATGAAGAATTGCATTTTACCAAAAAAAATGTTATTTGGCCACAATCATCATCATCATTCCGATCTATGTTGGGTTACAATTTGGACGTGTGGGAGAGTCATGAAACAGAGACAGAGGTTGCAATGAGAAGTGGGGTTGTTGCAAGGTTAGGTCCGAGATGTGGTCTTGGAGTCGAGTAGTGGGGAACACTACAGAGATTGGAGCTTAGAATAGTTTGGTTCTGAGGAATTTCGGGACAGTATGTTGGGATGCTTGGGAGAGAGGGCAGAGGTAGTTTGGGGGAGAGGGAGAATAGGGCTTCAGCATGGAGAAAGCTAATGGAATAGAGAAGGCCCTTTAGTTTATGGAATCACAGAGCTGTACAGCATGGAAACAGACTCTTTGGTCCAACTTGTCCATGCCAACCAGATATTCTAAATTTAATCTTGTACCATTTGCTCGCATGTGGTCCATATCCCTCTCAACCATTCTTATTCATTTACCCATCCAGATGCCTTTCAAATGTTGTAATTGTACTAGCCTCCCACCACCTTCTCTGGCAGTTCATTCCATACACACACCACCCTCTGTATGAAAAAGTTACCCCTTAGGTCCCTTTTAAATCTTTCCCCTCTCCCTTAAACTTTTATTGCATGGCCAGGAACAATAGCAACAACATGGTCAATTGAAGCAGTGCAAAGACAGGAAGAGCCAGCAAAAGGATGACTAAGACCAGAGGACTTTACCGAGGGTTAGCAACGCAAATTATTTTCACTAGTTGATGAAGGGAAATCGGGTAATGGGGACTGAAAGGGCCTGAGGAGCAGTCGCGTTACACAGTTATTCTCAGGAGCAGGGAGGAGTACTGTTGCTCCTCTACAGTAAATCCTCAGACATATCCTTAGTGATTCCAAATAGTCATTTTACGTTATTGAATTAAGTTCCTAAAATATGTGACCTCATTTAGATGTGACGTTCAAGAACTGAAAAGAAATATATGTTATATAGTAGTCAGGAAGAGGCGGTGTATGAGATATAAGGGGAAAATAGATAAAAGCAGTGAGAGAATGCAGGAAACAAAGATGGAAGAAAATTAGTGACCAGCAAAGACGTAGTTATATGGGAAGGTAACGAGTTTTATTTGTGACTCATCCCACTGAGGCCCTAATTTATTTTGTTTGGGTTGTGAATGTTTGTGGCTTCAAAGAGAACTGGACTGGTGCTATGAACCCTAACAGTACAAGGAAGCTGGATGAACAAACACTGATAAGCAACAAGATCACGCAAAGTTAGTAACTAGATAATTCTTCTGGCTCACAATGGGTCATGATCTCTTGTTCGGGAATTCCGTCTGTCATTGGTATTCATTTATGCACAACTGTGTTTTAAAGGTAATCATAATTTTGTCACTTCTCCGTCAAGCTCTATTGGCAGTCAGTTTGTGTGCGAAGAAATTTCATTACTTGTAACTCAACAGCAGCTTGTTAATTTTTCAGACAATGTTTTGTGTAATGAAATCTTGAACCCTTTTATAAAAAAAGTGTATGATTTTGTTCTACCTTTTGCACAGTAAATTTACTGATGTGAGCCAAACGCAACGTATTTCAGATGCTGGTAATATGAAACAAATACAAAGAAAACTTTAATAACATTTATCAGGCCAAACAGTATGTATGGAGTGAATAGACCTGGATGTTTTGGTCATAGATTGTTCCTGGGCGTGGGTAAGTAGTTTTGGGGAAGGATCCCAAAGCTGAGGCATCTTGCCGTTTCTCTTGACCTTTATTACCTTCTAATATTACAGGACAGAATGCAATCATTATAGTAGCTGGTGCAAACCTGCTATTGAATTCAGAAGATTTGGAGAAAGCTTCCGAAGTAATCCGTTGTGCAAAGGTGGTTGTCTGTCAGCTAGAAATTCGAGCTGCCGTCACTTTAGAAGCTTTGAAAATAGCTCACAAATCTGGAGGTAGGCACAGTTTTGTTTGTAGACTGTTCAATGGTATATTAATTTATTCTGAATTGAGGAGGTAGATTTTTGACTTACTGTTATAGTATTCAGCAGTTTCTATAATGGTGACTATTCTGCAATGCACTGTTATTTCCAAAAAAAAAATTCAAAAGTCTTTCCAAATGTATTCGTTTAGTTCATTTTGATTTTTACATCTGTATTCAATCAGATTAAGTCACATTCTCATTTTAACATATTACAAGGAGTGGTGATCAAACAGTCCGTGGTGATGTGTGGCATCCATCAACTTTCAGAAGCTAATGTTGCAATCTGATCACTACTGAAGAGTAACACTATCACCATATTTGATCATTTACTTACAATTCTTCATTTCTAGAAGTAAACTGTACTTTTAAATTGCACGATCCTGTGATCGGTGTAGGTGGTTAACATCACTCCATCAGCATTTCTCATCTAATTTTTCAACCTCTGCCCTGTCATCTCTTCAGAATCAGTGAAACATTTGTAAAATATGTACCTTTTAGAAGAATGCAAAATGAATATCAAGGTTTATCTTTATTCCATTGTATCCTAGTTTTGATGAATCTTCTTGTTTATCTCCATTCTTCAAAGTTTAAAAAATTATTTTTGTCTGTTCTCTCAACATCTGTCCTTTTTATTATATTCGCAGAGGTTATAGTCTGTACTACTAAGCAAATATGATCAATGCTGCATAACCCAGTGGAATAGTTTAATCAACTCTAGAAACTATGGATAATGATATTTAGGCATATCCAAAGACAGCTAAACTGCCAGGCAAAATGTTTGGGTGTGCGTTAATAGATGTCAATACATTGGAGAGAGTGCAGGAATGATTCCAGGGATGATTTTCAAAATCATGAGCAGGCTGATAGAGTAAATAGGCAGAAACTGTTCCAACTCATAATAGGAACAAGAACAAGACAGTTGAGATTTAGAGTGTAGGAGCAAATTACTGCAGATGCTGGAATCTGTACTGAAAACAACAAATGTTAGAGATAACAGCGGGTCAGACAGAATCCATGGCGAGAGAGAGCAAGCTAACGCTTTGAGTCTAGATGACTTCTTCAGAGCTGAAGTGAAGTTGGAGGCGGCAGCACTTACCTTATAGTTGGGGGTGGGGTGTGGGTGTGGTAGGGTGTAGAGTGCTGGTGGAGAAAAGAATGTTGATTTTTAGATTAAGTGATTGGCATATGAGAATGGCAGAACAATGATTTGACTAACTGCCAGACTGGAAAGAGCAGACAGTCCCACTGGGGTTGGGGGTTGGGGGTTGGGGTGGGGGTTGGGGGGAAGAGAGAGAGAGAGGGAGGGAGGGAGAGGACATGGTGACAGAGAATGTAACAAGTAAAGCTAAAAGAAAGGGAAAAAGTGGGAGTTGGTTCAAAATTTGAAGGTGTTGAACTCGATATTAAGTCCAGAAGGCTATAAAGTTCCTAATCTGAAAATGAGATGTTGTTCCTCGAGTGTGCACTGTGATTCACTGGAACACTGCAGCATGCCAAGGATAGATAAATGGGCATGCAAGCAGGACACTGTGTTAAAATGATCAGCTACAGGAAGGTCGGAGTCATGCTTGTGCTCAGACTGGAGCTGTTCCACAATGCAGTCACCCAGTCTGCGTTTGGTTTCTCATTGGGTGCAGCAAATACAATACTCAAGATTGGAATCTGAAACAAAGTAAGGATAAAATTAGGCAAATCTTTTTCACTTAGCAAGTAATTAAGATATGGAATGCAGTGCCTAGAAAGGTGGTGGAGGCAGGTTCAATTGAGGCATTCAAGAGGACATTAAATGATTATTTGTATTCAAATAATGTGCAGGTGTATGGTTGGTACTCTGTCATGATGCTCATTTAACACGTTGGTGCATGTGTGATGAGTCAAATGGCTTCCTTCTGCGCATCAACACTTGTGATTCTGTAAATGCACAATGAGCAGTAAAACTCTGGAAATTATTGAATCTACTAAATCACTAAGGTGTGAGACTTCCCTCCCCTTTCATAGAAAGCCTTCACGTTTGCTTTAGTTTTGAAATTGCACATTATGCTTTAAACTTTGGAAGGCAATTTGAGAATAACCATAGTAATAAATCGCTAGTCTATAGATATTGGCAACTTGGAGGACGATTAGAAGATTCATGTGCCTATTAAATGTAATTTTGTGCCTTTTAATGGATTATTTTCTTTATTCATTCACCAGCTGAGGGAGTCACTGGCTAGGCAGCATTTATTGCCCATCTCTAACTACCATCTGGGCAATTAAAGAGTCAACCGCATTGCTGTGAGTCCAGAGTCACATGTAGGTAAGGAAGGCAGTTTCCTTCCCTAAAGGACATTAGTGATCCAGATGCGCTATTCTGACAATTGACATTGGGTTGGGAAGGTACAGTCTCATGTACACTGCACAAGTGAGAACCAGTGGACATGCTAAACCCTTACTGTTTACACAGAGGGCAATAATCGCACAGGATTTGGATGTTTGGAGGCTCTCAGACACTTAGAAGCGGAGTCTGGAAGCCACTGGCAGAATGAGCTCATTGTCCTGGAAATCAAAAGTTGAGAACAAAGCGGCTGCGACCAACCATGCTCAGATTAGACGGGGTTAATTTTTCTTTTATTCAGTCATGGAATGTAGGCTTTGCTGGCTGGGCCAGCATTTATTGCCCATCCCTAATTGCTGTCAAGACAGTGGAAATGAGCCACCTCTTGAACTGCTTCAGTCCATTTGCTGTCAGTAGGCCCACAATGCCCTTGGGGAGGCAGCAACAGTGAAGGAACAGTGATATATTTCCAAGTCAGGATGATGAGTGGCTTGGAGGAGAACTTGCATGTTGTGGTGTTCCCATGTATCTGATGCCCATGTATCTAAATGGAAATGGTCGCGGGTTTGGAAACTGCACTCTCAGGAGCCTGGTGAATTTCTCTCCTGCATCTTGTTCATGATACACGCTACTACTACTGAGCATTGGTGGTAAAAGGATTAAATATTTATAGATATGGTGCCAGTCGAGAGGTCTACAATGTTCTGGAAGATGGCAAACTTCTGGAGTGTTTTCTGGAGCTGCACCCATCCAGGCAAGTGAGGAGTATTATGTCACACTCCTGATTTGTGCCTTGTAGATGGTGGACAGGCTTTGGGAGTCAGGAGGAGAGTTACTTACTGCAAGATTTCTAGCCTGTGACACAACCTGAGGGAGGGGTCTGCATGACTCACTGCTGTGAGGCCCTGTTAAAAGGAAATACAATTACACATACACCCATTCACTGTACAGAACACAGATCTATGGGGCCTTTAATCCCTGGTGATCCTAATGCATTAGCCCCCTATTTGATGTGCACCTCCCTGCCTCAGGTATCAGTGACCAACACATTCACACCAACACTTTTTAATGCAGGCCAGATAAAGGTTGCAGGATGAGAGGTGATTGTGTCAGCAGGACCCATTGCCCTGAAAATACTTTGTTGCTGTTGCTTCCAAATGTTGCAGCAGGCTGTCAGCACAGACATTGATCCATAGAACATCTTGTGTGGACATAAAGTTATGCTTCATGTTGGAACAGTTACATTTGGGGCCACACAGAGAGGCAAGGAGCAAGGTCAAAACACTGCCATTTATAGAAAAGTGCTAAATAATGTACAATATGTTGTTAGTCTGTCATAAAAGTTGTCTCAATTTTTTTTTTCCTCCTCTACCTCCCATTTCAGTTTAGTTCAGTCCTTGGTTCTGCAGCCTGGAGCCTGCCTGGCAGTGGAGCCCTGTAGTCCAATAGGGGGTTTGATTTTGGGACCTCTGGGACATTTGTATCTGGATGGCCCAGGGATGCTGAGGATCATCTTGCTAGAAGCAAGTGGATTCTCAGCTTTAACTTCAAAGGGTCAGAGGAGAACAGAGGGTGGAGGTGGAGAGGTGGCCACCTTTGGAGTACACCGAGTGGAGACTTCTGAAGGGCCTGTGTGTGGTTCCTGCTCTGGCTGGGTGCCTTCTGGCACCATTCTGCATCCTTGAGAAAGAGTGTGCTGATTGCTCACTAGGTTCTGTGTCCCCTATTACCATGACTTTGGTCATGAGGATCAATGGACTGCAGATATGTGCACCTCTCCAGCAGACCTTGAGGGTGCTGGATCTCTCTCTGCTTGGCAGCTGCTGACCTGTGCGTGGAGGCAGCCAGACGGTCATTTACGAAGGCAATGGCATAGTGGTATTATCACTGGACTGTTAATCCAGAGACCCAGGTAATGTTCTGGGGACCCGGGTTTGAAACATATCACGGCAGATGGTGGAATTTGAATTCAATAAATATCTAGAATTAAGAGTCTGATGACGGTAATGAATCCATTGTTGATTGCCGGAAAAACCCATCTGGTTCACTAATGTCCTTTAGGGAAGGAAACAGCCATCCTTACCTGGTCTGATCTACAAGCGACTCCAGACCCACAGCAATGTGGTTGACTCTTAGCTGACGTCTGGGCAATTGGGACTGGGCAATAAATGCTGCCCTCATCCTGTGAATGAATAAAAAAAATGACTAGCTGCATTGCTGCAACCTCTGGGCGTTGAGTCCATTGCACCCCGCATATCTGCCTGCTGCCTCCTGTTCCTCCCTGTACTTTTGGACAAAGTACCTGATTGCTGACACGCCAGATCCTTTTACTGCCTGAGACAGAGCAGGTACCTGGTCTCTGGCAGTCCTCCAAGTACCAGAAGTCCGGGCTTTTCTTCCTCAGCTGTCTGTTGCAATGAGGTGCTCACTGGATTGTGCACCCACATTTTCTAACGCTAACATTCCTACTGAGTTATCAATACCTGAGCTTGTGGAGGTGCAAGAGGCAGCCTTCCCTCAGTAGTCTCAAATTCAAAGGTCAAGGAGCTGGCTTCTGAGGAAGCTGGTCATTTTACTGCACAGGTGGTAGATACACTGGTAGTACCTACAAGATGAAAGAGAGAAAAGGTGTCTTGGCCAACTGTTAGAAATGGTGTGCAATGAATGAGACATGGGGTTCATCTGAGAGTCGGACTGACATTAGGCTCTCCACCCGTTATGAGGAGAGAATCCTGGCCTTCACAGGAGACGACTAGAACAGTCCTGAAGGGATACTGAGGCAGCTATATCCCTCTAATCAAATAAGTACCACCCTTCATTGCACTACAACTCTCACATGGCCACCTGTACATGATGTTTTGGTGCCCTTATGGGTTTTATTTCTGTAATGAGAGGAGGGGAGGAATTGAATTAGATTGAAGTGAGATACGCAGCTGTTGGTGCAGGTGTAGGAAAGCTAGAGAGGTTTTCCAAAGGACTGATTAGGAAGGGTACAGGACATGCAGGGTTAGTAGTGCTGGGGAGTGAAGAGGTTGGCAGAACATGAGATTTGGTAGCGGGGAGTGGGTGCTGTAGCAAAGATAGTCTAGCTTTGGGGTCACAGTGGGAAAACATTTGCAAAGCGCACTGATTTTTTTTTTTCTCTTTTATAATAAATCTTTCAGTGAAAACTATCTTCAATCCCGCACCAGCTGTTGCTGACCTTGATCCTGAGTTTTACAAAGAGAGTGATGTCTTCTGTTGCAACGAGACTGAGGTAACATGTTGGTATATTTTAATTTGCACAGGATAATGCACTGAGTTAGTTGTGTTTTCAGCCCTGGGTCTGGGTTCAAAAGCATCCAGGTTGCTGCAGTCAAACTCATCTCTGCCAGTCACAAGGATCAAAGGACAAAACTGTTCAAAATTTCATTTTACAAATTGGTGCTTACTCTAATAACCTGCAAAGCTGGTGTTGGAATTGGAAATATCACCTCCCCCTGACATTGGGGTTGAGGAATATTTTGACAGAATTCTGGAAGAATTATTTTGTTTGCTCAAGTTTAATGGATCTTCAATTACATAAAGCAGAATGTAAGCTATTCAATTAATTGACACTTTACCGGGTCCGCAATTTGGTCAGGAATCAAATATTGTCTAGCTCTAAGAATTTTTGCATGCATTTAGTACCAATGCAATCAGAATATTAATATTAATGACAACGTCGGTCTCCTCTTAGTTCCAATTCTAAACAAATTGTATTAAAATATCAGGGGAGGGATTTCATTTCTCAAATTGACCCCAGAACTGGTAACCATTGACTTTGAATTCTTACCAATGAGTATTCTTGGGATAGAGATATTCTTCAGCTAGTAAGGTATCAAATGATTCATTCTAATTAAATGAAATGATATGCAGCCATTTCACTCAGCATGTTTACCTTTAAAACTTGTATGTTGATTATTCAGGCTAATTCCTTGCTATAAATGCTGGAAGTCTGACAATAGAGTTGAAAATGCTAAGTATGTACAGCAGACTAGTAAGTACTTGTGAAGACGTTTTTGATGTTACCCTGACCCCACTGATACATTGACCTTCCTGTATGTCAGGCATGAAGCAAGCACAAAACCAATTTAGCAGCAAGGTGCTGTGCACTCAGTCAATGCAGTTGTTGGTCCCACTGTTACATATAAGTGGCCTTTTTTATATTAAGTGACCAAAGGATATCTAAATCCTGTATTGGGCCTCCTAGTTATGTAACTTATTGAAGCATATTATTGAGAAATTAAAGACGAACAAAGAATGTGGGTTTTGCCTCCCAGGTTTGAGTTTTTATTGGTGGATCCAGGAAGTACAGGAGTGTTCCCATGACTCCACAGGAATTGGAAACCCTTCCTCAGTCTCTCCCACTCCAACCAACTCACAGCTCACTAAAGTCCCCACTTTCTAAACTTATTGAGAGCTGAGTTCAAATGCACAGATCTTTTCTTTTTGCTTTGTTCATGGGATGTGTGAATGGCTGGTTGTAGTCCAGCTTTTATTACCACTCTCTAATTGTCCTGGAGAAGGAGGTGGTAAACTTGCTTGATGAAGTACTGCAGTCCATGGAGTGTAGGTACACCCACAGAGAGATCTAGTGCACGAATTGTAGCAAGTTAATATGCAGGACTGCAATTAACTAGGAAAGCTAATAAAATGTTATGTTTTATTGCAAGTGGAATTGAATGCAAGTGTACGGAGATCATGGTTCATTTATACGGGGCTTTGGTGACACTGCATCGAGAGTATTGTGTACAGTATAGTCACTGTACTAACAGAAGAATGTTAATGCATTGGAAGAAGCTTAGATAAGATTTACTAAACTAATACCTGGAAATGGACAGATTGCCTTATGAGGAAAAGCTAGCTAGGCTACACTTGTATCTTCTGGGATTTAGAAGAAACATAGAGGATCCTGAGAGGACTTAACTGGGTGGATATGGAAATAGCTTTTCCTCGTGCGGGGTTATCTAGAAGTGGGGCTCAAAGTTTAAAAATAATGTGTCACCCATTTAAGACAGAGAAGAGCAATCTTTTTTTGAGGGTTGTGAGTTTTTGAAAGTCTTCAAAAGGTATTGAATGCAGAATCTTTAAATATTTCCAGGTAGGTAGATTTTTGATTTCCAAGATGAATGATTATTGGGGATATGCAGCAGTGTAAATCAGTTCAGTCATGAAGTTAATGAATGGCAGGACAGAACTGAAGGGCCAAGTAGTCTATTCATGTTCCTTGTTTGTATGTTCATATGACACCCACAGTGGTGTTAGGAGGAGAGTTCCAGGAACTCCAAGTGAGTTGGGAAGGAAAACACTGTGTTTTCTGTTTCTATAATGCATGAGTTAATAAAATGAATTGAAGACAAAAGTGAACAGAATTATTTTTAATTCACCAGCTTCCGAATGGTGATCAGTTTCATTGAAATTGTGGTTCTTCTTTGCATATAGCTATGTGTATAATTGAACAACAGCTTTGATTTCAATCCGATACGTTCTTGCTTGATAAGTGAACTTTTCATACTTTGGTAAATTACATCTCGCAACAAAATTCTTAATTGTTGCCTACAGCATATTGCTGGTAGCGGAATGTATTTTCATATGCCACGAGATGGAAGTGTGCCTGTAGAAATGTATGGCTTGCTGTTTGATTGCTTATATGTGATGTGATATATGTTAGAACTCTCAACTGATGTTTCATTATTTTTAGTTTTACTCTTTTTTTTAAATCAGTTTTGAATTATGAGCTGGAAATGACTGGTGAGCTTTGGGACAGCTTATGTAAGAGAAAAAGAGCAGACTAGGCAAGCTTTCTTTGTAAGGTCTGGCCTGGAGGCTAACTGCAGGCTGAGCCTTCATTAAAAAGGTTCTAACAGACGTGGTAAATCTTGGAAGAGCACTGTGTTTAAACAAATAGTAAAAGTTGGCTATTAACGAGGTCACTACTTGGGAATTGGTTCTGGCAAGTCTGGAAGAGACCCTCTGTTCAAGCAGATGGCAGTGGATGAATTGTAATTGAGGCCTCTGGAAGAGTGAGGACTCCGGAAGAGTCGATCACTCTATCAGGGCTGAACAGCATTATTAAAGATTTTATTTAAACTCTATTTTCAGAGTGGTGGTTTTGAGCTGCTGCTGAGATAGTATGAAAATTTAAAAGCTCTCTAACATAATCTGGTACACCAGCTTCCAGAAGCCCAAAGAACCGAAAGCTGAATTAGAAGCACTGCTGTTTTCACCTATGTGAACAGAGAAGGTGAACTTGATAAAAGTTTCAGCTAAAACATACAAGGGATCTAGATTTATGCCTGTGAAACAACGTATTGGGAAAGCTGTTTAAGTAAGCGGGCAAATTTTGTTAATATGTTTTATTTATCCCTTCACTGTGTGAACTGGTGTCTGGAAATTAGTTACTTGCAAAGAGTGGGATTGGTTATTCAAAAGTCTGGTTCGGAATCATTGGAATGACTATTTGAGGGTCTTCATCAGTTTAATTTTACTGTGCTGTTAAATACAGAGGTAAAAAAAATTTGGTTTGGCTATCTCTTTCCATATTGTAATATCAGAAAGAACATGTTTGCTGAATGGGCTGATTTATTGGGAATTAAATGCCACAAAACCCACCATTACTATCTAGGTACATGCGTGTGCCTGAGCCAAGCCTGTTTTCAAGCATTTCAAGCGATTTCCTCTTTGCTCCCATGATATGAATCCCTTCTCCAAGAATAACAATTGTTAGACATGGGTGGTGATTTTCTAAAATGTGTCTGCAATTATATTCAAAGTCAGAAGTCACATGACACCAGATTATAGTCCATCAGATTTATTTGAAATCACAAACTTTTGAAGCACAGCTCCTTTGCCAGGGGAAGTGAGAGAGAAGAGCACACAGACGCAGAATTTATAGGCAGAGAGATCAAAAGATAATACGACTGGTTTCAGTGGAGTGTTAAATAATAAGTCTCTGCAGGTGACCAAGAGTGTTTGAAAGTGAGTAAAGTGTCAGCAGTTGAATAACAAGCGAAGGGATGACTATAATCCGATTAAATGAAGCAGAGAGATAATTACGAAAAAATTAAAAACAAGATGCTGGAGACAAACTAACTATCTGGAATAATATGATAGTTGTAAGAGTTGCATGCTGTGGGTCTAACCAAAGTACTATGTAATCCAAAACTGTACAAACTAATTAAGGCTGAGAGATCATAACAATTTATCCAGGTGACGGACAGTAAAAAAGGTTTACAGATACAGAACAGTGTGGTGGGATCACATGTGGTGTGATATGAACGCAAGATCATGGTTGAGGCTGTCTGTCATGGGTACGGAACTTGGCTATCAGTTTGTGTTCAACGATTCTGTGTTGTTGTGTATCTCAAAGTCCGCCTAGGAGGACACTTACCCGAAGATCAGAAACTGAATGTCCTTGACTGCTGTAGTGTTTCCCTGACCGGGAGGGAACATTTCTGTCTGGCGATCGCTGGGCGGTGTCCATTTATCCATTGTCATAGCGTCTGCATGGTCTCGCCAACACACCATGCGTCGGGCATCTTTGCCTATAGTGTATGAGGTAAACAACATTGGCCATGTCACATGAGTATCTGCCATGTACGTGGTGGGTGGTGTTCCCACGTGTGGTGGTAGTATCCATGTTGATGTTGTCCTGAAGGCTGGGTAGTTTGTTGTGAATGATAGTCTGTTTAAGGTTTGGCCGTTGTTTGAAGGTGAGATGTGGAGTCTTAGGGATGATCTTGGTGAGATGCTCATCGTCATTGATGATATGTTGAAGGCTGCAAAGAACATGGCTTAGTCTCTCTGCTCCAGGGAAGTACTAGACAACAAAGGCTACTCTATTGGTCATATCTTGTGTCTGTCTTCTGAGGAGGTTGTTGCAGTTTTTCACGGTGGCATGTCGGAACTGGCAATCAACGAGCTTTGTATCCCATTCTTTTGAGGGCATCCTCAGAAAACAGACACAGGATATGACCGACAGAGTACCCTTCTTCATCCAGTACTTCCCCAGAGTAGAGAGTCTATGCTACGTTCTTCACAGCCTTCAACATGTCATCGATGACGATGAGCACCTCGCCAAGGTCATCCCTATGCCTCCACTTCTCACCTTCAAACAACCACCAAACCTTAAACAGACCATCGCTCATAGCAAATTACCCAACCTTCAAGACAACATCGACCACAACACCACACAACCCTGCCATGGCACCCTCTGCAAGACATGTCAGATCATCG